TTGTCCTCTTAGGTGTCATGTTCTCTAAGAAGACAACCTGTTTAAGGTACCTAGGTCAGTTCTCCAGATGATCCGCTGCGAGCTTCGCAATTGTGTTCTTTAAGGTCCGGTGACCGCTTTCCACAAGTGAATTGGTCTCCGGGTGATATGGCTCGATGAGTTTGATAGGCACGCAGAGCCTTTTGAGCATTCCCAACACTTCTTGATTTACGAACTCTGTTTCATTGTCTGCTATAAACCTTCTAATGAAGGGATGCCTCAGATAGAAATCATCTATCCAATCAGCTACACTCCTCCCCGTCTTTTTCTTGAGAGCGACCGCCTCCACGAACCCACTTAAGTTGTCCCGCGCATCTAGGATATACCTGTACCCATCCGTTGACACAGGCATAACTGCAAGGTCAAGGTGGACCAAATGTCCCGGCCCCAGCACCCGTGTTGGTCTAAGCGGCTCGAGGACGCGCGCCGAACTCCGTTCTTGAAAGATCAGATATGTCTGACAGTATATGGCGACCATTCCTGCCATGCCCGACCAATAATAGAGAGATGTTATTTTTGCAAAAGTCCCGTTGGATGATCGATGTCCTCCTCCTAGTTCGTCGTGCATTGCCTGGATTGCCTAGACCTTCCGCACACAACTCTTCTAGGCGTAACACCTTCCTCTCTGAACAAATGGCCGCCCCTTAGGACGTACCTCTCGCCCTCCTCCCTTGGTTTAAGGCCGACTTTCATGGTTTGTTTGTTTCTTACCCGCAACAATCCAATCTCTGAAAAAACCCCTTCGTATATATGAACATAGAAAAATTCACTTCCTTCGTGATCCTTGTCCTTTCTTTCCTGCATCTGGTTTACCATCAGCTGCAACTCTTTTTGTTCCCAAGACTGTATTAGGCTCATCATGACTTCCCGACGTCCCTTAGCCGCCATTGCTATTAATTCCTCCTTCAGTCCTACTATTGCTCCCCACGAATCTTTCTCCTCCTTGCGTCCTCGAGTGGTTGTCTTTCTCTAAGTTATGCTACTACAGCAGGTGCCCCCTTCTCCAAATTCTGAATCAACAGTTCTCCCGATGTGCATTCTTCGCCCATCATTTCGTTATCCACCACGAGAGTTCCTCCTTCGTATTCAAGGAACGTGTCTATGGGCTCCGCATCCTCGACCCCTTCCCCTTCGGGTGTGATGCAGACCCGACTTAGCAGATCGGCCTTATTTCGGATTCCGGCAATTCGTTCGATCTTGTAATCGAACTGCCAGATGAATCTTACTCATCTCCCCACCGTCGGATCTATACGCTTGTAATTCCTTAAGGCCCTTGCGACATTCGTCGGATCGATACGTAGGATGAACCGCCTCCCAAATAGGTAGGCCTGGAAGGTCTTGGGGCAATGCAAAATGACTAGGATTTACTTCTTGAACTGCGAATATCGCCGTTCTGCAGTGTTCAGGGTTCTACTTTCGAACCTTATCGGCCTCTCTTTTCCTTCCTCACCCCTTTGAATCAGTATGCCTCCTACGACCAAGGGTCCTCCGTCCGTCTTTAGGATGAATGACCGTCCTACTTCGTCATTAAAACAGGGTGCTGACAAGGCGACTTGCTCAGATGTCGATATGTCCTTGAGGGTTTGGACGGCTCCTCGCTCCTCGGTCCAATCGATGGTCCCTTCTTTCATGATCATGGCAATGTTGGCAAAACTTTGAATGAAAATCCTCCAAAAGCCGACTACGCCTAAAAATGCTCTTACCTCCGTCGTTGTGCGCAAAGGTGTTGACCACTGTGATATCTTGTGTGTCTTAACCGGGTCTGGTTTCCTACCGTATGCGCCACAACGAAATCCTAGTATGGTTACGTCCGGCACTGCTAGAATACTCTTTGGTCCGCTAATCGTGATGTTGTATACTAGGAATCGGCGGAGTAAGTCCTTGATATCCTGTAGATGGTCCAATACAAATCTTCGGATTTTCGGTTGGACATCCGTCCCGTCCTTCTCTTGGGCATCTGTAATCGGGTTGTCATCAATGTAAGGTTCACACTTCTCCGAAAATATGTCTCCAGCTACAGCGAACATTCTCCTTTGCGCTTCGACTACTGTGTTCGTAAAGCCCATAGGGGTCACCTGCATCTGCAACTGGCCTACGGGGTTGTGCATTGCGGTGTACGGTATGTCCCGAGCATCCAATGGATGCTGGTCGTACTCTGAATACAAATCTACCAGGGAGTAAATGCTCCGGCCAACGTGAGATTCTGCTAATAAATCGACCTGAGGTAGCGAACCAGCATCCCGAATGGTTACTGCATTCAACTTCTATAGATCTTGAATCCATCTCAGTGTCTTGTTGGGTTTTTGAAAGACGAACCACCTGTTCGCGTATGGTGACGTCGTAGGCTCTGCGATGAAGGAGTCCATCTTTGCTCGAAGAAGGTCCGTCACTTCCCCTGCTATACCAAATTCATAGGACGACCCCTTGTCATTCCAACACTCATGCTCTTCCGTGTGAATTCTGACCGGGGGAATTAACTTCGCGTCTAACCGCCCCTTTTGGTGATCACTAAAGGCGAATGTAAGATGAAACTCTTGGCACGTCCTTTTGATCAGGAGGGTTTCTTCTTCCATTAAGAGTCTATCTATTCCTATCTTCATTGTATCAGCTACCTCATCTGGTATCCGATGCCCTTCCGTTGTTCGCCTCTCTCGGATCACTCGAAGGACTTCCTTCTCCTTCTCCACAGCCTCTCCCTTAGATTTCTATAGCAGGATCGAGACCGGCTTTGTTTTCTTCCCTACTGGCTTGTACTTTCGAACACTTCCTTCCGGGATCTTTCTCCAAAAAAATGATCGGTCGGGATTACTCTTGTCACCTCTACGACTCGTAGTTGAATACTGACTAATTTTCATTCAGACAGTATCCCTTCTGCACTTCTCCTTCGAACTTGGCCAATGTCACTGGGTCCACCCCTACTTTGTGGTATATGATAGCCTTGATGAGTTGTAACAAGTCGGGAATCTCGAGCGCGACTTCTGGTACGTCCATGCGCACTTCTTTCCGCTTGGGCAGACTGACCCCAAGCTCAACTTCTGACTTCTTTTCCGCCACCATGACACCTAAGACTTTGTCCTCCTGCCTTATTTTTTTCTAGGGCAGACCCATCTTAATCCATTCTTTCTTATTGAATGCTTCCTCAATCATAATCTCTACCATTTCTCTCATACCCTCCATTCGTGCAAATGCCCCCTTCCGTGCGCTATCCCTGAACGATGGCGACCACGTGGCTAACTTCCCCTTCGGAGGGTTTCCTCCCGTCCTAAGGAGTCGGAGAAGCTCCCCCCGGCCGGTCACTAGGTCCTCTATATCTACCATGTATGTGCCATCATGCAAGTGCATGCTTATCATTTTTACGTTGGCGCACCATGGTCTCCCGAGCATTATGTCGTGGTTCATTTCCTCCATTACGGTCATCCGTTGAAACGACCAGATCGATTCCATGATTCCTACCTTGACCGCACATTTTGTGACATACCCAACGAACGAGATTTTTTCGTCGGCTACCCGGATGTTCCCTGTCACTTCCTTATTTACCGTACATCCTGTGATTGTTGCGAAGTCTCTTCTTATGAGAGTGATTTCCGCTCCCCCGTCTAGTAATGCGTCGGTATGATGAGTCCCGATCTGGATTTTCAACTTTCCTACGGGTAGTGCATGAAAGCTAAGCTTTGTTCCGGGAGGTGTCCTCATGACTTCGCCACCTTCTCGGTCTGGCAAGCTCAGGCGGATGTCTCCAAAGGTCTTCTCAAGATCTTCCAAATCCCCGTGACTCCTTTGAAGGTTAGCGACTTATTGTGGAGCTTCCTCCTCCCTTTCCTCTTCCGGTGATTCGGGGTTTTCGTCTATCTCTACTCGCCGCCGAGTCAACAGTTGTCTGAGCCCTTTGAGCAACCTAGGGCTGGTGTGCAGCATAGTCTTAAATGATACCGATGCCATGGTTCCTAGTAATTTACTAAGGGTGCTATCGATCTCAGGCATGGTTAAGATCGGGATTTGATACCTAAACTTCCTCTTACCAGCGGTAACTTTCTCTGTGGGCTCCTCTTCCCTAGGCTTCCCATACACTTTCTCTGGTTCCCCGGCCTCGAACTCTGCCTAGGGTACGGAGCCTCCAACAACTTCCTCCATCACAGTGTCACGGATAATCCTTCTCCCAGCCATTCCCAACCGAGTAGTCGCGTTCACCCTGTCACGTCCGTCGCTTTCCAAAATGTAGTTGACCTGGAGACCGCGGTCCCAGAGTTGGTCCCAGATGATATCGACCATCGACTCAGCTTCTACCGCTGCTATTTCGAACCCATTGAGCATGATAATGGCGCGCCACATTCCCCTTGGCGTTCCAATTCACCCGTTCTCCCCGTGGTCCGAATATCTCTCTCTTCAACGATCTGGTACATCTCCTTTTTAATATATCGTGGTTGAGCTTTGGACATGTGCGCACAAAATGTCATGTCGTGGTGCAGTACTTGCACTGCTCATTAGCGGGGTCTCTCCGTCCGAATCCCCGGTTGGCTACACCTGGCGGAACTACGGCTTCCTTGGAGGGAGGGCGGGTCGGGATACTTCCCCCTGCACAACCATCAGTGCGTTCTCCATCCTTTCAATCTTATTGTCGACTCCATGTACGAGTTCATATAGACTTTCAATCCTTTTTTTTTCCTTCTCGCCTGTCCTACCGGTCAGGTTTGTGACCTCCCCTTCCTTAAGCAATGCCAATGCTTCAGTCACTACTATCTTCTCGGCCAGATCCGTTACCGTACTGAAGTCAATATCCCTGGTGTTTACAAATTTACTCGTCTGTTGGTAAGCCGATAAGATCTTGTCCTTGTCGAACTCGGAGAACTGCATGAGGAAGTACTTGCTCATTATCCGGTTCGGTACCCCGGCGATCCTCAGTGCTACTAGGGTAAATTCTCGTAGGAAGTCGTTGTACGTTGCAAAGTTCTTCCTTTGAACTGTCGCTAAATCGGCCTTTGTTGCCATTTTCTCCGCTGCCAGGTACTTCCTCATCATTACATCCCGAGTTTCCTTCCAGGATCGGCTCGCGGCTACGATGGTCATTATGTCTCGTCCTCGGCTTAATGACACATGTTGTCCTAGGTGGTCCATCTTTTCTTATTCGGTTCACTTCAACAGTGCCGCCAGGTTCTCGTAATCTATTAGGAACTCTGTGATGTTTGGCCCGTCATATGTCAATTTTTTTTTAGCGCCTGCGAGGTAGCCCTGGTTTTTGTTTAGTGCTCGTGCGGGGCACGACACTATGTTCCTGAGGCCGCCTTCGGAGCTACTAGCCTCGCCTGTCGTGCTGGTATCTTGTCCCTCCTTGCCGACCGTCTATCTTTCTCTAGTCTTCGCAGTCCCCTCCGGGTTGAACCACCCCAACACCCTTTCCCTAAGGCTCCAGAGCACTTCGCATCCTGACATTGCTGCTAGCGTGGCCAGCAGGCGGCTAGCCCTACTATCTATGGCTGGTGGATTCGTAGCTTTCTCAGCTTCCATCCCCAGGGATTTCTCTCTCTCCTTCTTCCTATTGCTTGGTCTCCCTCCGCGATCATTATCCTTACCCCCTTGTCTACTTTCGCCTTGTCCGGCTTTCCGCTCACCCCGTGGTTCTTCCTGTGGAGGATCCTCCTCGTTCCCCATCATCATCTCCTCGATCAATCTTGCCTTGTACTCCGCAGTCCTCTTTTCTATTTCTGCTAGTTTGCACCTCACATCCGTGACTCTCACTTTCTTCGATACAACTTCGTCCGAATTTCGCGGGCTCAACTTGTCCTTATTTCTACCCTCCCTGGTCTCTTGGGTCCCTTGCTTGCTTCCCCCGACTTTCCCCGAGCTTTCCCCTAAGGAGATTTCCTTCCTATTCCCCTTGGCACCATCGGGATTCATCGATTCTCTGTCCTTCTCAGCCTCCTCGCTTTGTACGGCGCTGCCACCTGAGCCTGGTCCTCCCTCGCTCCTATGATTATCTATCTCATCCTCCGTCGCCATTTTGCCTAGTTCTGCATAAACAAGAGGATTCCACAGGACACAGGCACCGCGAGGCATTTAGGTTCCAAAGATTCTGGTTTCTTTGGCTTAGCTTATTCCGAGAGTAGCCCCGTCCCCATTTCTGTCCTCTGACCGTTTCCCTAAGAAGGAGCCGCGGCCGACCCTGCTGCTCTATTGAGCCAAGGAACGTGACTTAGTCCCTCCTATGACAGACTCGTTTAGAGTGCCCAGTTTGCCGTGCCGGTACGTAAGAGTTCCGGTTGGGCTTCCCGTTAGGAAAAGTTCCCGAGCAGTATTCCCTTTCAACTTCTAGGGTCACGACAACCATTACGAGTTTAACCTTCCCCCTTATCCCGTAGCGGGTTTTTGACCGTCCAGGTCCAAAGGTCTTTCCTATTTCCAACGATGAGCCCCTGTACGTAGCGGACTATACTCGATTTGCCCTATTGGCTTGCCTCCAGGTGCTAGTCCCGCTCTCGTCCTCATGACCCTTCCGGTTCGATGGGCTCCTCGAATAGTTGAGCCACCCCAGCTAGATAACTCTCTCCTATCTCGATTTCCCTCCGAATTATGTGCTCGTATTCCGCCCAGGCTAGTCGTGGCAACCTAAATATCAAGATATTAATAACCTCCAGCAATTCATGGGTCTGGTTTCCCCAGAACGGCCCATGCTCCACAACAACGTCATATAACATCCTGATGGTTTCATGAGGGAAGTGGTCTACCCAGGTTATTGCCGAGTCTGCCAAATTTTGTGCCCTTGCGAGGCTCCCGAAGATGAGGTCTATCATGAATCAGGGGACCCGGCATCTCAACGGGGTGGTTGGTGCCCAAAATTTCCTCCAGCTCCCCATTTCCACCCTGATGAGTAAGCCCACGTTCCTTCTACCCCTGATTGATTGGCCTATCCGTGTCAACGTCTGAGCGGGCCTTCGAAAGACTGGTGCCAACTCGTGACGTTGTGCTATCCCCACCCCCAGCGAGTGCTCGCCGATCTCGGATAGATATATGGCCCTAGTAACTTCCAAGTTCGAAAAGAAATCATCCCCTGGTCCTCGGTTGAATCTCATCCCCGTCCACCGACATTCCACCAACATGAAGGCGTTGTCTCTCCCCAAAGTTACGACCCGCCATTCCACGTCAAATCCCCGAAAGTCGGGAATTGACGGAAGGGACACTTCCCACCCTCTGCCATTATTCGAGGGCGGGCCGGGATACCTGGGCTGGCGTATCTTTCGAACACGTCTTGCCGCCATTGCTGTTTTGGTGATTTCCTGCATAGCCCACACAGAAAGGATTACGACCCATTTTTAGCAACCGCCAATCCTCGTATCGCTTTTTTTTCTGACTATATCCGTTTTCCTCTTTTCTGTCACGCGTCCCGCACCTGCGCCCACAATGGTCGGACACCTTCCCTTGCTTTCAATCTCCTTTCATGCCCTCCTAAACTAATGTACAAGCCCCTATCTTATGTTACTCCTTAGTTTACACGTACCTTCCAAACTTCGATCTCCTCACGGCGTTCGATTTTATGGTCCTTTTAATCGAACCACGGTACTTCAAACAAGTTAAAAGCATCATCGGTGTAGGATGGAGCGGCCGCTGCCTCCCGGCTAACTATGGCGTCCCAGGCTTCCGCATCTACCTCTAGGCGGTCATACTTGCCTATTCTTAGGATGGCGAGAATTTCCCAGGCTTTATCACCGTAGAAGGGCCCGTATTTTAACGAGGTCTTATAAAGTTCCTCAGTCAGTCAGGCACACTCTATATACACTTCTTTCATGGAGGCGTTCACCTCTACGATGTGCTAAAAACCCCCAAACCACTTGGTCATGAACTCAGGCACCCAAGCCGCTGTTCGCAGGCCGGGAGGCTTGAGTTCCTTCCATCCCCCCATCACAACTCTACTACTGACTTCGTCTCATCCTTCGTTGTTCGAACCTCTTGCCCTCCCTTCCGGTTCGCGCCTCCGCATTCCCTAAAAGCCACATCGAATCCTGTCCCGTTGCTATCACAACGCAGAATAGGCGTCATCCTTTTTCGGAGAGAACAACCGTTCCGACCGATTCCATCCTGCCTTCCGCTATCTCATCCCAGCCTTCCGCTTCCCTTATTGGGTTCCAAATCCGCTCTACCCATACGTATGATAGTCCTGGGGCAACTTAAAATCTAACCCAGTCGCACGTGGTCCCTCTCCATTCGTTTTCTGTTGGTATAGGCGTTTCTACTCCCCCTCTATGTCGCCTTGGTTCCCATCCCTTGAAATTGCAATTCATGAGCAATTCCTCTCTAGTCATCTTTCCCCGTTCTGCACAATGTCAGGCCACTCGGTCTTCCTAAGTAAGTCCGCCATCTTAGAAGTCTCAATCCTCTATCTCATCCCCTTCGTCCTCGTCACTGAAGTCGTCCTCCTCATTATATAACAATTCTCTTACACCTTCCAGGAATGTCTCCCCTACTGCCACATTCCTGTAGACTATCCCCCAATGCACAGAGATAGGGACGAAAACATTATCTATGCCAAGCGAGTTTAGCGTATCGGCCAGCTCCTCCTCCCAATTCCCTTCAAACGGTTCCATTTCTATCGACAACCGGAAGACCGCATCCACCAGAAAGGGAGGCAGCACACATCGCATGGTCGTAACGGGTCGCCTCACGCTCCCTCTATCCCCAAGTTTCAGTCGCACATCTACCCTTTCCATTTTCATTTCCGCCCGCTGACATGCAGCCCATACAACCTCCCTTTCTGCCTTCCTAAACAATTCGTCCAGCGTATTCCCTAGCACCAAATCTATGACCATAGCGTTCTCCCTATCTTGCGACAAGTAGACCCACCCCCGGGCTTTCACCGTCCCTCGGAACTCCAAATCCATTAAGCTCGACGACATCCTCGTCAAGCTGACTTTCGTCCATACCATTTTTATCCATAGGACCGCGTCCTTCTCTTCTAGCATTACGGTTTGATATGCTGGCTCAAGATCTGTCCACGTCCCATATTCCGGGAGGACGACCGAAACCCCATCCTTTACATCTACTGGCATTTCCAAACCGCTGGTATAGACCGGGGATGACAACCACTGCGCCACTTTGTTTCCAGCGCCCGACCCCTGTTTTCATAAGAGAGTACCGAACGGCCTTTCCGGTCAGGTCAACCCATCTCGTAGATGAGAATTATTTTCAGACCCTTCATCAAGGTCTTCCTAATTTACCTCCCCATTCCTAAGTACCACCTTCTCGTAGTACCCTCGGTCGGCCACCCATTCCTCAACATTCTTTCTCTTGGTTCTATTCCAATTGACCTCTATCCTCCTTTCTTTCAATCATCTCTCACTCGTGTAGACTTAGATGGGGAGGTGAGAATAGACTTAGAATTATACTCGTCCAACAGTTCATTCTCAATCAATCTTTACAAGGGGGGCATACACAAAAAAAAAAACAGGCAATCTCGCATACGAGTCAGTCATCTCCTCACCGGCCTATCCCAATGTGGTCTCTCCGTTGGTACGATCGACAGAGTTTGATCTCATACCTCAAGCGCAGCTCAACCGCCGCGAGCGCGGTACCCAGGCTCCAGAACAAGGTGTTACCCCTCTCCATTCGCCCACAATACCCCATCCCGTTTTATCACTCTTGCATACCCTCGTTGGTACCGTGAATCACCCCGCGCACGCCGTTAGGAGCAATAGTCAGTCGTCCGGGCATTCACTTTCATCGGTCCGACAAGAATCAGCCTTTCCCAAGCCATGCTACAGGAAGCTACCAATCGTCTCCGAGGTTCGAGAGATGGTTAACGAGTCCTCTAATATTTAGCATGTACATAGAGTGCGTTCAACATTCATACACACTCGGACATATTAAACACTCGAACAGGGAAGGTGTACTTCAACATCTCGAAGCCTCAGACAGGGGAGGTACAAGCCTAGAGACGTGGGGTCGGTTCAGTGTCTTCAATGGATTCAACATTTTTTAAAGCTAAAAAAATTCAGCATTTTTTAAAGCTAAAAAAATTCAGCATTTTTACAAACTTAGAGAGGGTCAGAATCTTCAATCTTTTCACCATTTCATAATTTTCATAATTTTTCGCGTTCCAACACACGCGGACGAAAGGGGGTGTAATTCAGAGTTTTCAGCATATTCACCACTTCAGAATCTTCAGAATCTTATACATTACTACACACTTATACAAGGGGATGAACGCAGAAAATTTCGAAAATTTTAAAGTGGTGAAAACGCTGACGATTTTAACCTCCCCCTCAACCTCACAAGGGTAGGCACAGGGGGTTTTCAGAATCTTCCGCGTTTTCACCACTTCAAAATTTTCAGAATCTTCAGCGTTCCACACATTCGAATAAAGGGGGGTGTACTTTAGAATTTTCAGCATCTTCACCACTTCAGAATCTTTAGAATCCTCAACGTTTCTCTACACTTAGATAGAGGGGTACACGCTGAAAATTTCAAAAATTTTGAAGTGGTGAAAACGTTGAAGATTCTGAACCCCCTCCCCTTTAAAAAACAAAACAGACGGAGGCACAGGGGGAGGGGGGGGGGTTGGTTCAGAATCATGAACATTTTCACCACTTCAGAATTTTCAGAATCTTCAGCGTTCTTACACACCCGGATAAGGGGGGTGTATATAAAGTGCGTTCAACGTTCATACACACTCGGACATGAACACTCGAACAGAGGAGGTGTACTTCAACATTTTAAAGACTCGGACACGGGAGGTATAAGCCTAGAGACATTGGGTCGGTTCAACGTCTTCAATGGATTCACCACTTCAGAATGCTAAAAAACTTCTACATTTTTACAAGCTTAGAGAGGGGGGGGTTCAGAATCTTCAACCTTTTCACCACTTCAGAATTTTCAGAATTTTCAGCATTCTTACATACTCGGACGAAAGGGGGTGTAGTTCAAAGTTTTCAGCATCTTCACCACTTCAAAATCCTCAGAATCTTCAACATTTTTAAATACTCATACAAGGGGACGAACGTTGAACATTTTGAAAATTTTGAAGTGATGAAAACGCTGAAGATTTTTTAACCCCCCCACCTCACAGGAGGAGGCACGGGAGGGGGTCTGAATCTTCGGCGTTTTCACCGCTTCAGAATTTTTAGAATTTTCAGCGTTCTACACACTCGAATAGAGAGGGGTGTACTTCATAATTTTCAGGATCTTCACCACTTCAGAATCTTCAAAATCTTCAGAGTTTCTACACACTTAGATAGAGGGGTAAACGCCGAAGATTCCAAAAATTATGAAGCGGTGAAAATGTCGAAGATATTTAACCCCCTCCCCTTAAAGAAACAAAATAGGCGGAGGCAGAGGGGCGAGGAGGGGTTCAAAATCTTCAGCATTTTCACCACTTCATAATTTTCAGAATCTCCACCGTTCCTACACACTCGGACAGGAGGGGTGTACTTCAGAATTTTCAACATTTTCACCATTATAAAATCTTCAAAATCTTCATCGTTTCTATACACTCAAACAGGGGGGCAAAAGTTGAATATTTTGAAGATTTATTCAATGTAGAGGCATTCAGCATTTTCAACACTTCTGAAACCGTTGAAACTCGACTTTAAAGAACTTCAAAAATATTGAAAGTTCTCCACTTCAAAATTAGTTTCAGCGAAGATTCAGAGTGTCGTTGACCACGTGTGCGAGGTTCCATCCTTCCCTCGCATGCAGTGGTACTCCCCCCGCCAGCCAACAGGCTAAGCCCCGCCTGAGGAGACGTTTCGCACCCCGCTTGAGCAAAGTCATTGAGCCATGCTCAGACCGCCCGGGTAAGAATGCCACTAATCAACCGGCGTGACAAACTCCTGCCCGACAGCTCGGTGGCCTGAGCTCCACACACGAAACCCAGCGAACTTTAAAGAGAGCGACGTTTCGCAACCCGCACCGGCCGATGCAGACACATCCTTTCCTTCCGAAAGGCAGGACACTCAAATCCCATCATGCAAAACACAAGTCTCAAGTGGGACACATATAGTACAAGTGTCTTTCCCTTGGTGCACCCAGCGCTTTCTACCCATAACTCACAATTTTCTCCCAAGACAATGAGTGTCACTCCCCCTACTTTCCACAAGCGGTTATCGGGTAGCTAAAAATTCAGGAATGAAAATTCTGAAGTGAGAGTTTTTGGCAGTCTGAAAATCCTGAATGTTCCTGAAGTGGTGAAAGGTCCGAAGACCCTGAAAACCACTTGTTTCGGCAGGCTGTATCCTGAAGTGGTGAAGGGTGTCCTGAAGTGGTCAAATGAGAGTTTTTGGCAGTCTGAAAATCCTGAATGGTCCCTGAGTGGTGAAAGGTCTTAAGACCATGAAAACCACCCTTCACCACTTGAGGATGCAGCCTGCCAAAATAGGTGGTTTTCAGGGTCTTAAGAGCTTTCACCACTTCAGGACCATTCAGGATTTTCAGACCTGAATGGTTCTGAAGTGGTGAAAGGTCCGAAGACCCTGAAAACCACGTGTTAAGCAGGCTGAAGTGGTGAAGGGTGTCCTACTTTCATACACAGTGGTTGGTTCCTTCTCGTGGGAATCTTCAAAGGTGAGCTAGTTTTCCTTGGAGTCTAGCAACTCCCTTCATTCCCTTTCTCTTCATTTTTTTGTCCTTTCATAGGGATGCATTGTTCCTTCTCGATGATCGTTGTGTTCATGTTGGTTCCTTTAAACATTTCAATGTGTATAGTGCATGAGCCCGCTAGGCTCAAAGAAGAAGGGAGAAGGGCACTCATTCGGTCGGATCACTCCGCCGCGGGATTTTCATCTGACCCCAGCCGAAGCCAAAGGACCGACCGCCTGGTAGGTAACCAGAACCCTTCTTTCATACGAAGAGGAAGGGTCGACCTGCGACTTGCCCAAAGTTTTCCCGGACTGGCGAACACCAGCACCGGGCGAAGGAGGGCTAAAGCCATCCCCCAAGGAGATGGCTAACCAAGTGCATAGCATGCATGTTATACCTCCAAGCCTGCTCATGCAATGCGCCCAGCCACCCTCAAGTCTAATTCTCACAAGGGAAAGAGCAAGCACAAGTCCAATTTACTTGTTTTTAGTTATGTACACGTTAATGTGTCAGGTGCCCCTTTCAGAATCGCAAGGGTCAGTTTAACCCCATACGCGGCATCTCCACCATTTTTATAGGGTCAAACCCCTTCGAGTCTTCGTCGACCCCACTGCGGGTCTCAGTTGGCTCGGCCTGCCCACGCTCATGCTCAGGGCGCGAGCCGTTCGTCCCAGGGTCACCCCCACCTAGTGCTTTGAGATGGATGGGGGTGGGCCATCGCGCGAGAGAGCTTTGACATTGGGGATGTAACTCAGCCCTCACGCCAGGTGGTAGTCTCACTAGTCATTTGTCAACGCTGATTTTTTTTTTGATTCTTGATTGTGCGCTCAAGCAATTGCTCCTTCCAATACGCAGGCAGTTCAGGGGTTCTTTGAGAGGTTTTTTTCCCTTGTGCGCAGGCTAAGCGTCATCCTTAGGCCGCGCATCATTTCCCTAAATATTGCAATTCTATGGCATCATCGAGGTGCGGCGATGTCGTCCTCCCCCTCGAACATCCATTTCGTCAAAACGGACATATTATATTTTTTGAACGAAATCAAAACTGATTTTTTTGCCAAGATCCGGTCGGAATTTTTTGCTCTTGGGGGTCCGGCGTTCCCAAAACGCCGATGGTTGAGACCAGATAAAAAAAAAAAAAAAAAAAAAAAACCTTGTATCTGGTCTCAACCATAGACCAGGGGGGTCCGGCGTTTTGGGAACACCGGACCCCCAGGATCAAAAAATTCCGACCGGATTTTGGCAAAAAAAGTCAGTTTTGATTTCGTTCAAAAAATATAACATGTCCGTTTTGACGAAATGGCTGTTCTCGCCTCTACGCACCCGTCGGGTCTCAAGCATCTCATCCATCCTTATTGACGCAGACCCCTTAGTCTTTCCGGGGTCTTTGCA